TTTTTTTTTGGGGGGGGGGGGGGAAAGGCATTTAAACAATTTTGGATTAGGAGGACGTAAGGAAGGTCAGTTTTTTTTCACGACTAGACTTCTGGTAAGGCCTAATATTTGGCTAAATCTTGACGTGGTGCACATTCCGTTACGATCTTTCCTTTTCTTGCCATGCAGGGAACTATAGAAAAAACCAGAGTGGGGCATCGGGCGATCCGCGGCCCCATCAAGAAAGATGCCCAACATTCTCTTTTATTTAAAAGTTGAGCTCATCAAATTTGCATCTAGGATGAGTCATCTACCTCCACAGATCCTGGCGTTCCAAAGAGGATTTTAACAAATTTAGCACAAGTTGAACAGGTTGTTTCACCCGGACGAGGCGAACTATCTGTAGGATTCGGGCTGATAGTAAAAGTCTTCCTCCAGTTATTGTTTTCCTAGGAAAATGCTTACAAGAAACACGTTCCGCAATGTCCCTGAAGGATCTTTGAGCTGGCACATCCATCTTGGTGGATGACCACTGTAAACATCTAGCACGTGCTTCAGCATATCCAAAAGCTCACGCCATGGAATAGAGAACAGTGGCGGCTCGTGATATTTAGCGCCATCGATTCGGGCACTACCTAGCCCCTCTCCATAGACGAACCACTAGCGCTACATATCACGAGCCGCCACTGGTTGAGAACCCCCAGTTCTTTTTGATTCTGGGCAGCCATTTGGGAATTTCAAGTTTTGCTATTGGCGAGAAAAAATGCCGTCGTTTTCTTGACGTTGCCTCCCCACTGCTCGCACAAGATGCAGCCTCTGGATGAGACAGTTTTCGAACCTCATAAAACGTATCTAAAAGATGCAGGAAGTTCTTGGTTGGAGAGAAATCCAGAAGAATAGCTAATTATTAATATATTACTGGTTTTATTGAAAAGTATGACAATGCATCTGGATACAGTTATTTCCAGGGAACTTAGTCAAATGCAACAATTATGAGAAGTCATATATCTGTCCCCCAATGCCTCAACAAGGCTGTCCATGAGTTTCACAATCCAAGCTTTGTGGAAACCATAACTTCCTGGAATTTCGATTTCAAGAACGAGTGAAAGGCTGAAAGGCAAAATGGAAAAAAAAATTGCAAAAATATCTGCAAAAAAAAAAACACGAAAACAGTGAAAATTTCAGTGACTGCCTTTGTTAGAAGGACCACTTTAACTTCCAGCCCTTCAATTAATATTTTAAAAGAAAACTCTTCATTTTTATCATCGGGCTCCCTGCAATATTATTTTCTTCCTTGAATCACTGGAAATGAAGTCAGTTGCTCTCGCTCACATAATTCCTTGACGGATCTTATGGTTGCCTAGGCCCAAGAATAATAATAATGTTTCCAAACCCCAATTTAACAATAAAAAATTGAAGGTTTTCAATTTTTGAAGGCAATTGAAGGTTTTCTTATGTATGGCAACTTGGCATCTACGAAGAGTAAAAATTATATTTTTATTGCTACATAATAGAACAAACAAAAAATTTAAAAAACGTTAGATTTACCAAAAGTGGAAGTTTTCACTGAAACGGGCTTATCGGCATTGTGGCCCTCTTTTCCCTCCTTGGATTTGATTAATTGTCAAATGACTTCCTTCAACAGATTTTGCTTTTTAACATAATCTTATGTTTTGAAACGCTTGATGCGTGCCTAAGTAAGAAAGTAAAGGGCATCGAATCTTGTAAATAAGCAGAGCCAAATCCATAAAACTCCCTTGCCTCCTAATCACCCGCTGGAAGGATTGGCACAGCGGGGGGGGCTGAAGTCCCCTTCATCTCTGATCTGCACGAGTCTGCCACCCCCACCCTCTTCTACTCAGCCTGAGGAGGAGTTTCTGGTTCCCCCCCCCCGGACGAAACTCTGGCTATGCCACAGGCTGGAAGACAGATCGGATAGCTTCAAATGTGGATCTTTTTGAAGGCGGACACTGGTAAACACAGATAAGGAAAAAAATCCATCATTGTGGTAACACCTGATTTGCCTCTTGTTTTTCATTGTGCATTGGAAAATTATACTTTTTTTAATATCAGGAAGTGGCCTATCACATCCAGAAATGCACAAGACAGACTAGTGTCTCAGGACACTAGTCAAGTAGAAAGAAACCTATGTAAAAACCCATTAGATCTAATTAGGGACGGGTTATTGACCAGTCAATTAAAAACATGTCAATTGACCAGTCAATATGGTCAACTATGGTCAATTTTGATAAATAGAACCAACTTTGATTTATTTTTATATTTTTTTCTTCGTAGTTTTTGCACTATTATATATGTCATGACTCACAAGTGATAGACTAGGGATGGGAAGTTGACTGGTCAACATGGTCATTTTAGACCAATTGCAGAAAATAATGGTTATGAGCCCAACAAGAGGTTAGACCTTATGACTATATTATCATAAATGACCATGTNCAAGAGGTTAGGCCTTATGACTATATTATCATAAATGACCATGTTGACCAGTCAACATCTCATTGCTAAGATAAATTTAATGTTCCAACTCATGCAATCTATAGGGTAAACAGTAATGAATCATGTTTCATAGCTGGGTTAATTTTTTTTAGGCATAGGCATAGGCAATAACTTGTCCAGTACTTGTCCCGTGATCACAGACTTTGAGAATAATTTGATAATCTGATGCAGACTATTAGCCAGGGCCATGATTGACCTTGCACGAAACTAAAGTTCTAAAGCTGTTACTTAGATCTTGAACCTTAACTTCGAAAGTCCTTGAGGCAATAAAACTTTGAACAGCAAGCTATGCCTGCGCACACACTCTGCATCACTCAAGTGAAAGGTCATGGTAGTTTGAGCATTTGCTAAAATGTTTTCATATGCAACAGATGCCACAGTCTAGGTGTTTTGGCAGGCTGCATGAACAAATCTTAAAAATTGAACTGGCTCTTTGGTTTTAGTGCTGGGGGATAAATGACCACAGTTATGAGCTCTATAAAAATATCTTAATTTACTGAATTAAAAAAATTAGTGGTCAATAATGGTCAATTAAAAAGTGGTCAATTGACTGCCCCATCCCTAGATCTGATCGATACCACATGGCTATTTGACAGTTGTTCTTGTCTGCTATTAATCACTTTCATAACTACACAAGAACATGAACAAACTTCGATGTAGCAGAGAATGCCTTCCTCTTGACAGTATGGTCCAGCTGGGCCTGGTGCATCGGCAGGGAAGAACCATTCCTCGGGGTCTGGAGGGAAGGTACTTGACACATATGTGCGAGCAGAGAGAGGAATCCCCAAAACCAGCTTCTCAGCTGGCACATTTTTACCCCTGATGAACCCAATAGTAGATTCCTAAGGAGCAGGAACAGTTCTGTTACAGACAATGCATCCCAGATTTTAGCACCTCTGCACACAGTGAATAAAGAGGCTCCAAAAGATACAGAAAAGTCTTTGTGGAAAATGTGACAGATGCTCTTGGTGACAGAGATGTACTAATATCATTTGACAATTCTTTGAAGCAGCAAGTTGCCCTCATGATGATGATGGTATGATGGGTTCAGATTAGTCAGGTGTAGCTTTTCAGCAAACCATCTAGTTGAATGGAATTACACAAATTTCCTTTTCCCTGTCCTGCATAAAAAAAGGGAATTTGCCGCATTTGCTACTCATTTTTATCACTGTCAATTTCCCAGTATGCGGGGCTTATTTATGTCTCCCTTATCTTTGGCAGCATGCTGTTGAGCATGCCATCTAATCCAACCAGCTCATGAATCCTCCTTAGCTTCTGCTTATCCTCAGGCAAAATCAAATCCTCCTATTGCCTTGGTGTTCTAAAGACAGGGAGATCAATCTGGGTTGTTCCAAGTCTGTGGGCATTAGTCCTGTATCCCACTCTTTTGATTCAGTCTCCCACATCTCTAGGTCCAGGAGATGCATGAATCCAAGAACTAAGAGGATAACTGCAAGGGAATATAATTAAAATCCACCATCCTTTACCTTATCTTAGGACTCCAGCCTCACAGATTATACCTGCACCATTATTTTGTCTCATCCTTTGAAAGGATATGCTCAAAGGTCTGTTGCCTTCCTTGTTTTATATATATTTTTTGTGGTACTTGCCACATTCAAATATATTCAAATTCTATTTATTCTCAGAACCCTGTGTTGGCATTTTCCTCCTCTAATTTCATTTTTAAATATCAAGTTTTTCAATAGCAGGTAGATCAGTTGGTATACTTATTGCCCAAGCCAATCACCACCATCTTCTTCCTTCCATTTTGATCCATGAGAGTTAATATCCTTTGTTCCTCCACATCTCATCGAGAAATGTCTAATTGAAAGCATGTGTGCGAAGCAGTACAACATACCACATTGTAATTTGGGTTCATGTCGTCTGATGGTTTAAGGGCACTCTGGGGTCCCACATAGCAATTGCTATCAGGAGTGCACATGTAATAGTCATAGGCCATCACGTTCATGAAATCCACATTTCCATGCATTTGAGCAAGCTGCAAGAGAATGTGCGATTAACAAGGCATTTCCAGTGAGAAAGAATAAAAAAAACGATGATATCAAGATATGGACCTCGAAGTTTGCGAGGAGCTCCTCTGTCCCTGGAACCGATATAGAGAGGACAGGAGGATCCCTTCCAGTGGGAAAGGATTCCCCATATTTATTCAATGCATTCCTCAGCTCCTGCACAGAGGAATCAGTTTACCACCCTTTACGTAAAGAAAAGGTTGAATCCCAGTTTAAAATCCTGGTTGGAAACAGCTATAATTTCCAGCTGGACTCCAGCTGTAAATTCGGACCCATTCCAATTGGGCAACAGCTGGAAAACAGTCAACTCCAGAGTTGTTCCTAATTGCAATATAACTAACTGAATGAGAATCTTTTCTTTGACTATTTTTGGCCGAGGTCCATCAACAGGAACAGCTGATCTTAAACTGTAAATTTATCTACATTCCAGCTGTAGGGTCCTCTTTATAAAATTCCAACTGGGAACTGCTACTAAAACCATCTGCATTCCAGTTGGAAAATTCCAGCTAAGAAACAAATGGTACCTACTGTTTTCCAGCTCTTTGCCAGCTGGAAATATTCCGAATTTACAGATTTGGTCCAGCTGGAATATTCCAGTTGGGATGTCACTGTTCAGGAATGGATACCTACTCCAACCAGGGTGACGTAGTTTAACTTGTCTGAAGGCCTCCCCCCTCTCAGCCCAGGATATTCCCAGTCCAAATCCACTCCATCAGCATCAAATGTGGCTAGGGCACGGAGCACACTGAAAGAGAGGCAATGTGCAAATTACTAGGGGCCAACCCCATGATGAACAAAGATAGTGAAAGCAGATTTCACCGACCAAAGACTTACTGATAATCCACTCCCTCAGAACAAACTCAAGTGCTGAAGCTCTGAGCATTAATCAGGACAAAAATGATACCAGCAAAAATGTATGAGTTTCTCTACAAAATAAATTTAAACAAAATAATCCAGATGCTTACATACCTAATTTAGTTTGATGCAAATAATGATCAATGTATTATGATAATGCTTCATACCTATAGATGAACTTGCTGCGTGTGGTAGGTGTTGCAACCATATCAGACCATTTGGAGGAACCCTCATTCCAACCACCAATTCCAAGCATCATCTTTACCTCAGGGTGGTTCTCCCTTAGGGCCATCAGACTGCGTATCGTATCTGTCGATAGGTGACAAACAAAAAATGCAATACGATTCAATGGTGCTCAAGGTTGTTCAATTGTTCAAGGGACATGCAGCAAGGTGAGCTACCTTTCCCATTTACACTTTCACATGGGTTCAAATCTACATTGGGATCAAGATGTGTGAGGAGGAGGGTTTCCTGATCAATGCCGAGGAATGCATAAATGACATGGGTGCAGAGCTCTTCCCTCAGCTCAGTCAGTCCAAAGTGTGCATTTCCTTCACGATAGATGGACCACGATCCCCAGTAGCATACCACCTTCTTGTCTGCATCTTGAGCTAATTCCAAAAGAATCACTACAAAGCACCTCATACACCAGACATTATGTGTTCTTATACGCTGAAATGGTCAAATGGATGGAGATGCTCCAGGGGATATTATACCTATAATATTCAATATGAACTACATGGGGACAAAAAATTGAGAATAGGAGAAAGTAGGATATAAACTACCTCCTTACTCTCCCTCTCACAATACCAATCCAAGATGTGAGGGATGCAAAGGAGATGACAAATGTTTCATAGAAGAGCATGAAGAATGATCCACTTTTATAACTTATGGTATGTTCTTCCATGAAAGGGCAAGTTTTCTTGGAATTCAGTGCATACTTCCAAACTGGATTCTTGCTTTGAGCAGGATATTAACTTGAACACTACTTGCTGAAAGCAGTAAAGCTAACTTGTCTCCTTCCCAAGCTGTCTGTCTCAAAACGCTTTTAAACACTTCCTTCTTGCTGGGATTTCTTTAATGATTATGTATTCTTGATCTAATCACCTAGAGTCTTGAAAGTAAGAAAATGTAACAAAGAAAATGTAACAATCTACCAATCATCTTGGTAATTACCATTACAGATGGTACTTTCTTCTACCAATGGGTATTGTAGCTCATTGACAAAAGGCAGTTCCAGTACAGGTGAGCATAAATGAGGAACTCTGTAAAAATAAAATTCAGCATAACTTGATTACTTGAGTGTAGTGGATTCTCAGATGAAATTGACTTGAATTAATCCCAAATTCTGCTGAAAGGAAATGAATAAAAAATAAACAGAAAGGAAAATAAGAACAAAAGTAACTTTCCTGTAATGCTAATCTCTATATAGCAACTTTCTGAAAACAACTGAATTACTTTGATTATTTCAGTGTGTGGCATAACCCTTCTCATGAATCTTTTTTCTCATAGACTCTCAATGATACTGAACTGTCAAATAAAGACATTCTCAGGTCCATTTATCAATAAGTAGGCCCTAACTGAAGAGATAGTTGCATGAAAAATGAAAAACTACTTCATGTTCTCTTCCATCTTTACCTTACATGAGAATGGGAAGAATCTTTTATTAATTATAGAAAATAGCTTCAGGTATCAGTATCAGTTGAGTGAAATGCTTCTCTGCATGAATTCCAATCCTTTCAACTAATGATGCAAGTGCTAGGAACCACATAAACCCACCAGGCCACAAAGAAAAATTTGCAACTCAGAGGGCTGTTACCACAGAATAATTTTTAAAAAGTCTACGTGATCTCCACCATGATTAATTCCACACAAAATGCATTAATACCAACATTATGTGAGACCCAGTGTGACGAAGGCCCAACTCACCCTTNCAAATAAAGACATTCTCAGGTCCATTTATCAATAAGTAGGCCCTAACTGAAGAGATAGTTGCATGAAAAATGAAAAACTACTTCATGTTCTCTTCCATCTTTACCTTACATGAGAATGGGAAGAATCTTTTATTAATTATAGAAAATAGCTTCAGGTATCAGTATCAGTTGAGTGAAATGCTTCTCTGCATGAATTCCAATCCTTTCAACTAATGATGCAAGTGCTAGGAACCACATAAACCCACCAGGCCACAAAGAAAAATTTGCAACTCAGAGGGCTGTTACCACAGAATAATTTTTAAAAAGTCTACGTGATCTCCACCATGATTAATTCCACACAAAATGCATTAATGCCAACATTATGTGAGACCCAGTGTGACGAAGGCCCAACTCACCCTTCCCAGAGGCAAACAGAATCACGGAAATGAGGAAGAGGGATAAAGATGAAGCCATGGCGCTAAAATTCCGTGCTACCATGGAAATGAGGAAAACAGTTAGACAGGACAGTCACTTGATAAGATGGCAGTCAGATGGAAAATTCCCATGAAACCGTCACACCTGGACAGTCTCTATCCCCATATCTTACCATGACTTCTCTTTCCTCCTGCTGCATCATATTTATTTTCAGATGCTATACTTTCATACAAGAACTGTCCTCACCAAGGCATCTCACAAACACAGGTACAGGAGACAATGCTTCAAACCTTTATAATATAAAAGCCAGTCATCCTATAGAACATGAAACACATAAAAAATAGCAAAAATTGAGCAATGGAGTTCGCAATTGAAGACATCCCAGAACCTTGAATGAAGGCTGGCTCCTGCTGATTTCATTTCCCCCACCTGCCTGATGTCAAAAGAAACATGAAAATTTAGTTGGACTTTCGAAAAATACCAACCATAAATGAAACAGAATGCAATGAATTAATGTCACCCAGATTCCACAATGAATTCAGCAGAAACATAAATCAACTTCACGATAGAATGTTTCCAACATTCACTACCCACGCTATAATAGTATTGATCTAGTCTTTTTTTATTATTGAAGGAGGGTAAATATGAAGTACATAAAAACGCTAATGATCTAGCACAGGGATGTGCAACCTGCGGCCCACAGGCCGCATGTGGCCCGTGGACCTGCTTCTTGCGGCCAGGTAATACATAATGGGATAACAGATTGTTTTTTTGGTGGCCAAAGGCCCATCACAACTTTGGTCATCCCTTAGTAACATGACTGAGTCCTTTCACTTCCTTCTAAATTTCCTTCATGCAAGCAGTGCTACATATGTCCCAAGGAAGAAGGTTCTCAATGCCAAAGGCTATTTTTAAACATTTGAATTTCTCATTGGTGGAGAGGAGGTAAGGATCATCGGCCAATCAGCGCGACCTTATGCCCTAATATGCCCTGTGGACAAAAGAGGGGAGCCTTATCTTTTGCATTCTGTGGCCTGCGTCAGGAGTCACGTATTTCCATGCGGCCCACTGCCGATGAAGGTTGCACACCCCTGATCTAGCATTTCAGGAAGGATCTAGCATATCATTTTCAGGAAGGATGTGCTCCTATCATTATTCACTCTGAATCCTAGGGGCGTGACAGGACAGAATCAGCTACATGTATAAACTCACACCAAGAATACCTCAAAAGAATTGTGTCATTTCATCTGAAAGAGAGCTAGCTTCAATCTTAACATTGAGAATTTCTGTAAGATACTTCTCAGTATGAAACAATGCAATAAAGCATTTTCTAATATTTCTTCTTATTCTTAGTTGCTTTCAGAAGGGAAGGGTCCATTATACATACAGCATCATTATTGATACCAGGGTGATTCATAACTAGCTTGGTCACAAAGTGTTTATGTCAAGCACACATGCCTTGAATTTTATCTTTCCATATCACAATAACTTATGGTGCCAATGCCTAAACATCAAGTAGAACTCTTCACAGCCTTTAAATATTGGACAAATGGATAGATGAAGACAGTCTTACCATGGCGTTTATAGTAGTAGTGTCTCCTCAAATGATGAACACGTTGATTCCAGGCTCCTTTAGGGTCAGTTTGTTTTCCAGAGTCATTCACCTGGCCTGTTAAGGAAAGATTGGTGTAAAAAAGAAATTCACTTGAATTGAGCATTCTCGGCAAAATGGGTGCTATGGCAAAGACTTATTTACAAGATATCATTAAAAAAATGCTAACCAAAGTCACTGTTTCCCTTGTTAGGACAATTTGAGGCCCAATGGCCCTTTTTGGAACATGAGAAACAAGTGGAATTTTTCATGCGTTCTTCCAAGGCACTCAGCTTGGTCTTGGGCTCCTTCGGGTCGTTCTCTGCTGTGGCTTCTGAGGCTGATGTGGTTCCGCTCTCTGTGTTTTGCTGCTTCACTCGCTGTTTCCATTGTTTGTACTTCATATTCCTCACATTCACTTTCTTCTTTCCTCGTGAAAACTTCTTTTGTTTCATGTTCAAGGAAATATAGTTTTCATTTGGGTTACGACTGCTCTTTGCCCTGGAAATAAAAACATAGACATTGAAAGAATTCCCCATGATTGGATGCAAGTTATTCAATATCAGATTTTGCAGTTTCATTTGTTGCCTGCATTAGCAGAACCGACTTCAGAGAGCTAAGATGAATAAAACTGCAAATTTGAATATTAAAAATAAGGGGGATTTTTCTGGTAAATCTAACTACAAGTACTGGTACCAATGATTTTATTCCTTCATGAATCACTTCTCTTGATTCCTGCAAAATCCATCCATGGAGATTGAAAGAAAATGGATATGAAATAAATGTTGGATGAGAATTTTAGTTATCTGTGGCATGCAAATCCCTTCATGATAGGTTACTACTCCCAAGCCTGTGAACCTAGGCCTATTTCCTCTTAGGACATCTGATGCTTGTAATCTTCAGCCCCACACAAATCTTAACCCTTTCCCTGGCAGGGATATCCAAATGTTTCGAGGATGTCGGCATAATATTGCATCAATGCCAGGGAAAGGGTTAAGAATATGTACACAAAATAACTGCAAATAAGATCATTCCTTTATCCAGAGCTGTCAAGCTGGTTGCCTGTGGGGTGGAATTGGCCTGCAAAGTCCACTTCATCAGTTGACTTCAGAAAAATTTTCCAAATTCAACAAGTTCACATAAAAAACTTGACATGAGATTTGCTAGAGAGGTTCACTGCATTGAAGGATTCAATGTAGCCCCTGGCCTAATAAAGTTCAAAACCCCTGCCTTAATCTGTATTTTCCCATACCGCTTTAAATTCCTCATCTTCACTGTTTTTTTTTGTAACCACAACTAATAGCAATTGGCCCCATTATGATCTCATCCCCATTAGCCAGAGCTGGTGCCAATGCTGGAAAACCTATTATTGCTGGTGAATATAGAAGAGATGCTATCATACAAAAGATATACTGCAAAAGGAATTTAAAAAGTCAAGCACCACCAGTGGCGGCTCGTGATGTTTAGCACTAGTGGTTTGTCTATGGAGAGGGGGTAGGCAGTGCCCTCCCCTGCCTACCTCCATAGACAAATCCTTTTCAGTTCTAAATGGCAAAAACATACACTGCCAACTAGAATTTCAGATTTGTAAAGTTGTGCAAGCAGCACAATCAATGGGGGTGAAATAAGAAAAAAAAAGAAAGCAATCCCAGCAATTTTCCAAGCAGATGCCACTTTATGGTATTTCCAGAGGTATCATCAGCTTACTCATCTTGCATGTTCTTCCTCTTCATTTCCCCCATGACTTCTGCCATCTTTAAATTTAGAGCTAAGATAAAGGCCTCTTGGCCTCAAGAAGTTTAGCAATTGCTAACATGGAAATTGGACTCCATTGGTTAACAAAAAACCTGACACTTGTAGTGTAATTTTGTTCATATAATCATTCATAAAAATCAGATACAGATTCATATGAAGGAGCCCATCCCTTAAACATAATAATTCTTGTATGAAGAACATAAATGTCGTCAAGATATGTTTAAAGTATGAATAAGCCCCACATGGATAATATAATTTAGCCATGCATGCTCTGATATATTCAACTTCATATACCTCATATACCATTAAGTGGAATATATAAAAATATAGGTAGCACTGTAAACTGCACATAGCTGCCATATACCATGTTTCTGTGAGCTAATAGACCTACCTCTTAGCCGGGGGCTGAATTTTTTCTGCCACTCCACTGTCAGCCATCTGGGAATCTTCTAGAGGTCTCTTTGAGGAAGGGATCCCTGAATCACCACTTAGTACATCAAGCCGTTCACCAAAGCCTTTCTCTCCTAATTCACCTTCAACGTCTGATTCCTGGGTATTGTAGTCAGACAGGGCTGAGTCATCATCCCTGTCTGCAAAATCATGCAAATCCTCAGATTCAGTGCCTGAAGATTCCCATTCTGAATCTAGGTCTGTGGAACTGCTTCCTTCCATATCAGCAGCTTCTGACTGAAATTCAGAATCTTGGGGAATTTCCTCTGCCTCTTCAGGGTTATCACTGAAAAATGAGGGTTCTTCTTCTTGAGTTCCAGTTTCAGGACTGTCTGGCTTGCAATCACCATCCAAGTGGGTAAACCATTCTTTGAGGTTTCTTCTCATTGGCACTTGGCTGACAAGGTTGTCCACTGAGCTCTTTTTACAAGGTGAAAGAGTCATCTGCTTCAGCCGAAGCTTCATCCCCTTCACGGGAGAGAGAAGAAGTTTGGAATTTTCTTTCTCATCACTGAGATCGTTGTGCCGAGGGTGGGACTTGTCAGGCGGCGTCGAAGGGCAGTCCGAGTTCCTGTTTTGCATATCTGATGTGATGATGCTCAGCAACTGTCCTGCCAATGACTCACTGGCTCGAGAAACCTCATGTGAAACCACCAGACTCGGCCCTGTTGCCGACGCGGCGCTCGACGGGGCGGTCGAAGTACGATCGGAAGAGACGGTGGAATTCGGTCGGGCCACTCGCTTCAAAGAGCGTTTCGTGGGAATCTTGGCCCTGTCCCTCAGTTTCTCGGAGAGGGCGCCGTAGGGAGTTTTCTTGCTGCATGATGATACCTGCTTCTTCTCTTTTTCATTCTTCCTGCTCAAGTGGTCTCCCCAAGCTAACTTACTGTTTGTTGGTGCTGGGGAAGCCTCCATGGCACCTTGCAGTCTCGCAGCACTTCGAATAGGGCCGAGAGACTGCACGCATGACCAAACTTTAAAAAAAAGCATTCGGTTAGCCAGAAGCACCTAAGATTGAGTAGCCTAACGTCATTTTTGTCTGAACAAAGGACACGATGAGAAGCATCAGAAACATTGAGATCACGAAAGGCACCCGAGAGGAAATCACATCATCTAATACCCTGCTTCATAAAAAGGAACGCTCTCGCGAGATTCTCGCGTGGATGTAGCCACTTCTTTGCGCGAATTTCAAGAAACGGACACAATTGCCGCGACCCACAAGGAACGCCTAAGTCCCGATAGGCCTAGGCCTAGCCACACACAATCTCCAGCGTGGCCAGCCCCGTGATGAAGACGAAATTTCGTCACCGACACGCTCCAAAAGATCCCAACGATAGGCCTAACATTCCACTTCGTTGAAGTCGGTAACCCTCTCTTCCGTCCATGCCCGCGAAACAGTGAGCCGCCATGACGGCACCCAGACACCGATCGCGTTTTCCCTAAGGCTACTAAATACAAGGTTGAGGCTATAGGAGCTTCATTACCGCGCCCGGCAGACAGATTTAAGGTAAATTTAGGAGAGAGCAACCACGTGACGTCACACAGGGGATTGTCCCTTCAAAACGACTGAGAAATGGCTCGGTTCGTCGCTCGTCATTCCCGAATGAATTTTTCCCCCGTCTTAGCGATTAGTGGGATTAGTGGGATTTGTGAGAGATCAACGGACTCCAGCGAAGGCCAAACTCTTATCTCGGAAGTAAACGGTCGGGAAAACGGTTTCTGATAACGAATCGCATCGAATCCTAACGGGCACGCATAGGCACTGAATCAATTTGGACTCGCCCGCGCTCATTCGCGGCTAAGGCCTGTCTCGCGAGTCGTCCTCAGACAGCAAACTCGAAATGCCAAAAATGGATTCTGTTCTACGAGAGCCAGAATAGATTCCATTTGGCCCTTCGGAAGCCAATTCGCTAATAAGAAAAGCCAAACTCGGACGTCATAGGGTGGCCGCGTCAACGCTGCCAGGTCACCGTCACATGGGCTCATTTTCATGGGGTTTTAATTATTTACTTTTAATTTTATACTCGGAACTCGCGATAACAATAACAAAAATGCAGGAGAGAAAGAAATTGATTACCTGGTTGCGATTAGGCTCGGAAAGGAGATGCCGATTGCTCGTCGCCTCCGTCACGACGCATGAGAGGTTCCCAGAGGGAGACGGGGACGTACCAGGCGCCGTAGAGGCGGTGGTCGACGGGGGACCTCCCGGGGTCGGGCTCCCCGCGGCAGGGCCTCCAGACGCCAACGGGCGGGTCGGGGTGGGCTCGCTCGAGGTCGTCGACGAGGCCGCGGAGGGCGTGGCGGTGGCGCAGGTCTTCGACGGGGAGGTCTCCGGTCCCGTCTTGGAATTTCGTTTCCGAGCGGCGGAGCTTCGGGCGCTTGCGGGGGGAGGGCGGGGCTTTGGGGGATTTTCCACGGGGGTCCGTCTCCTGGGAGGGGCAGTCGTGCGAGAAGTGAACGCCGTGCAGAGCTTGGGCCGTTTTTTACGTGCAGAGCCGGGGGGGGGGTGTGCAGATCATTATTCGCTCTCTCGAAATCTCGATTTTCATCATCGATGATACCCGTGCACAATTTGGATGTCGATTTGGCAAACTTTAGCTTCAACAGCTCTTACGCGCAAGACAGTAAGCTAATTATGAACGTTCGCATAATACTGTCATGCAGTCCTTTCAATAGGGCAAATAGTAGGAAACAATTCCGTAGCCGTCATCAATACTTAAGCCATAGGATTTACGTCATATTTCAAGTTTTCCCTCGAGGCTTATAAGATTTACATGCAAAAATACCATATTCAAAGAGACATTCCCGTCATATTCTATAATAGGCACGGACCTGAAAGGGCAGCCTCTTCGGTGGATACCCCGGCCTGACCCTGCACTCCGCCAGCCTCGCCGTCTCGCTCGCCACCAAGAACCTCAGGTACGCGTTCCTCTCTCCCTGCACACGGAACGCACACTGACGACCTTCCCCCCCCCCCCCTCCCCCCCCCGACGTTGGAAAAGACTCGAGAACTCACCTGCTCCATTCCTCAGTCGTCGGGCGGAGGTCGAGGTGATCGGTCGCGGGGTGCCGAGTTCTCGCATCGATCAAGCGCTTGCTTCCCGTCGGATTCCCGTTCATCGCAGTGGATTCGTTGGGGGCAAGCGCGGTCCATGGATCGGCCCACATGGGTATGCTCAAGTACCCGATGATAAATCGACTCGCGAGTATCAGATAGACGATATCATCTGTTGTAAAAAAGTTCCCATGGCTACTTATGTCACTCGCGATCGTCTATATACAGTGTGGGGCAAAGGTCAGTTTACCGAAAGTGCATGATTGTAATATATTATTAAAGGTAATAAAAAAAAACCATGTTTGTGTTCCACCATTCCTGCAGAAGAAACACACGTTGTTCCATTTCCAATTTCCAATTTTAATTTGAAATTCCAATCTGGAATAAACAAGAACAACAAGAAGAGAGACACCCTTTGAATGTGAGTGATTCCATGTCAGATGGACCAATTTTCTCATGATTTCATGGTCGACCATCATCGATTTGGCTGAAATTTGGTGAGGAGGTAGCGTTTGACCCAAAAACGGGAAATCCAAAATAATTTTTTTTTCTGCCCAATGGTGTGCCCGTGGCAAGGTCACAAAATGTTGACCTATTTTAGCTGGTCCAGCTGACCTCTATCGGGCTTTCATCAATAACTCCTTAGCTATTTCTCATAGAATGTTCATTTAGGACTCCATTTAAAGGTCTCTTTTAACCCTATCTTGTAAATTTATTTCAAGCTAATATTCATGTATACTCATTTTATATAAAAATTCGAAGGCGTTTGACCTTTGACCCTTCATAAAAAATATATAATGTTTAAATTTCACCAACTTTACAAGATAACACGGAAATAATATAGTAATGAAGCTCATAAATTTTCAGGAGGATGTTTTGCCCCAGTTTCGAGATATGTGTAAAAATGTGCTTTACATTTTCCGTTTTTTGGATCCATTATTTTCAGAAAGCTAATAAAAAAATTATTTGCTTCTCCGGCAATATGGATTAGGCCGACCTATATCATATTGTCTTAATTATGGGTATATGGAGTTCATATATCTTCAGATTTGGTTTCTCAACCAGCCACGATACAGGTACAACAACAGAAAACATTTTCAATAACATACTGTTTACCAGGCTTCAGAAATCTTATTCACGTAAGGAAACTGTGATATCTAGCACATCTTCCTTCGGCACACCCGGAGCTTCTGAATGTAATCCGACATTCTATCCTGCTTCAGAATATCCTGGTGAGACACTGAGAACCCTCAATACACTCCTGCAAGACATCGATATAACCCTGCTAAATACGGGCCAGCTGTCTGGTAGTCGTCGGGCACAGTATGCAGAAGGTAAACTGAAGATGTCAGCCAATATGAAAGCGCAATTGGAATCGATAGCCAAGGCAGAGAATCCTATAGGAAGAACTTAGGCTGGGGATAGATCTTGATTCAAGAAAAATTACTTTTCAGTCAGTATTGGATGAACTGAAAGAGAAATTCCACAGCCCAGAAAGTCGTGGGGTAAAAATCCAGATCCTGACTATGGCTCCAAGAGGTTGGACATTAGATGAGTCGGCCAAGTTCTTTGGAGCCACCAAGTAAGGTGTGAAACTGGCAAGAAAAGTGAGGGAGATGGAAGGAGTCCTGGCGAAACCAAAGAAGATTGAAGGCAAGAAACTACCAAAAACAACGATGGGTTTGGTGAGGCAATTTTACTATGATGACTCAGTTTCTGGAACATGTCCAGCTGCAAAGGACTATGTCCCTGGCAACCTCAAGGAAGCGTACCGAGCATTCAAAAACAAAAATCCAGATGTTCAGGGTGGGTTCTCAAAGTTTGCTGAAGTTTACCCAAAATAATGTGTTCTGACAGGTGGATGTGGTACTCATACCATGTGCGTATACGCGGTACATCAAAATGTCAAGCTGGTGTTACATGGGGGAAGAATTAGGCGAACCTACAAAGAACTGACCTCCAATATTGTCTGTAACCAGTCAACAGAAGCCTGCTTAGTGGGCCAATGCAAATCATTCATACGTGCCTATTGATGCGAACCACCTTCAAATCCGAATCTACTCTGCTGCCTAAAGAAGTTCCGTCTGAAATAAATTAGATAAAAGCTTACATCCTTTCACCTCAATTCCTAAATGTCATATTTCTTGATGTGCTGAATGTTGAAACATGGGATTCAAAATTTCAAAAACGGTGTAGAGCTGCAAATTCAACCTATTCTGACGCCACAAGTCAGTCACATTGATGTTGGGCAACATTACTTTTTTTTGAGTTTTAGAAAAATAATGGATACAAAAAACGGAAAATGTAAAGCACATTTTTACACATATCTCGAAACTGGGGCAAAACATCCTCCTGGAAGTTTTGTGTGCTTAATTACCATATTCTTCCCATGGTATCTTGTAAATTTGGTGAAATTTGAACATTATATATTTTTTATATGAAGAGTCAAAGGTCAAACGCCTTCGAATTTTTATATAAAATGAGTATACATGAACATTATATATTTTTTATATGAAGAGTCAAAGGTCAAACGCCTTCGAATTTTTATATAAAATGAGTATACATGAATATTAGATTCAAATAAATTAACAAGATAGGGTTAAAAGAGTCCTTTAAAAGGAGTCCTAAATGAACATTCTTTGAGAAATAGCTAAGGAGTTATTGAAGAAAGTCCGATAGAGGTCAGCTGGACCAGCTAAAATAGGTCAAAATTTTGTGACCTCGCCACGGGCACACCATTGGGCAGAAAAAAAAATTATTTTGGATTTCCCGTTTTTGGGTCAAACGCTACCTCCTCACCAAATTTCAGCCAAATCGATGATGGTCGGCCATGAAATCATGAGAAAATTGGTCGATCTGACAGGGTCGATCTGACAATGATTGGTCGATCTGACATATGACCCATATGCAAATGCATGCCCTTCCTTCTAGGACGACCTGCCAGGACCTTTTATCGGCGGCGAAAAAGGGACAATACAACTCTACCGGACAATAATCCCACATAATGCAAGCTTTCCTTCGGTACCCTCATTCCTTCGTCAGCAATCAATATACAGTAGTAATGAACTAACGTCTTGAGCACTTGGGAATCATCAGAAACTTCTGGGACTGGGAGACACCTTTCCGATTCTTAAGGCCATATCTCCATAGTACCACCTTCTTGCGAGGCCCAAGTCTCAGACTTCGAGCTATAGACGCCGAGAATAATTTCCGTTCATCGTTATTCATCCTGTCCAGGTCCAATGTGGGTCACAAAGTAGGATTGACCTGCACCATGTACATCTAATACTAGCGAGTTTGTTTGCCCGAAGGGCAAACAAACTCGCTATGGTCGCGCCTTCGGCGCTCTTATTACCTTGGATAGTGATTAATTCATTTATTATATGAGTTCGGGAAGAATGCAAAATTACATATCCATGCCCTGGGGGCATATTTTTGTGAGCCGACGTTTTCAAGTATTTGTTTGTCCTGGCGTATTGAGCTAGTGTGGAAAGATGAAACTTGGTACACATGTACCTTTTGGGATCCAGAGTTCAGAAAAAATTCTACTTTGGAGGAACATGCCCTGAGGGTACAACTTTTGGGGGAAAACGTTTTCCTTAAATATATTTTGTGACAGATGAGGATGGGATTTAGAGAGTCAACTTGATGTGCTGCGTTCGGTGGTGTAGTCATAGCTTCTCTGACTGGCAATCAAAAGGTTCGGGTTCATTTCCTGGCCATTCCAAGGTTTTCCTTTGGTGTTTTTTTGCCTTCCATGTCCCGTTACTCATTCCCCCTCTATGACATTATTTTTGCTTGAGTAAAACGGAGAGACATTGTAAGCTGAAACTTGGCATCGAGGTGCTTACCGAGATTATGAGTTCGGGAAGAATGCAAAATTACATATCCATGCCCTGGGGGCATATTTTTGTGAGCCGACGTTTTCAAGTATTTGTTTGTCCTGGCGTATTGAGCTAGTGTGGAAAGATGAAACTTGGTACATAACTACCCATTGGGATGCTACAGAAAACTTCAAACTTTAAAAGTAAATGCCCTGGGGGCAAAAATTTCCAAAGGAGATGTTTTCAACTAATTTTTTTTGCATCAGTTAAACTGAAGAACATTGAAAGCTGAAACTTTGCATGAATGTGACTACTGACACAAGGAGTTAAATAAAAATGTCAAGTCTCGATACATCCCCTGGGGGAATTTGTTTGAGGGGCGATGTTTTGAAAAAAGAAATTTGTTGTGGCGAATTGGACAGAAATGGATATGTGAAACTTGGCACATATATGAATGACATGATATTACTGAGCTAAGGGAGTATTCAGCTTTTATGGTGCATCCCCTCCGGGCATAGCTTTTGGGTGGGTAGGCTTTTCCAAGTATGTTTCTATTTTAACGATAACGGACACTCTCGCCATCTGTTCAATTTGACTACCCATGGTGCACATGCCACACACAAATTCATGCTTGCCCATCCTACGACCCACACTGTTTCACGTTAAAAGTCATTACTATATTTCTCATATTTCGCAGATGAAATACGCACCAACGCAATCTACTCATCAAGAGCTTGCGATTGATGTGTCACATGTGTCTTTCGACGTGTGGTCCTCTTCGGATGCCTTTTACTCGAGAATTTTCAATTAGCAATAAGAGAGGTTCGATTATTAATTAGATGTGAAGGGCGTCGTTGAGATACAGTAGATATGAGACCACTGTCACCATCACACGATTTCTCCTTCATGGTTAGGTGATTCGGTAAACTGCATATTATACTGTATATGCTGATGTTTTGCCATCCACCAATACGACTGCAATACGGGAAAGCAATTCAAACTTTTGAAGACCTCTCGTGCTCGTCAACTTCCTTTCTTCTTTCGTAAGCACTTTCAAAGGACTGATGATGATGTAAGTAGCGGCGAAAGAGCACCTCATTCCGCAATTCTGCACTTCTGAATTTTGAGAGATGGACCCCCGAGGAA